ATGGGTTTTCATTTGTGTATTGTCTTGCTTCCATTTACATATTGTTTTTCATGCGCCGCTATTAATGTACTAAATCACTAGTTGGCATTGATGTCCATACCCCCCAACTTCACTCTCACCCTTTGAGCTAATAAGCCCTACGAATGCACACGGTCAATCGTCCCTATAAAAATTTAAAATTATCATATATTTTTTTTAAAAAAATATGTATTTCTTTTTAAAAATATGTTTCGTCCCTTAGAATTTTAGTTTACCCCCTAAAATTTTTGTTCATCCCCTTTAAGTTTAAGTCCACCCCTAATATAAAATTATGCGTCTGTCTCTGGCTCCACCAATCAATACCCTACTGGCTCCACCAATCAATACCCTAATCATATATATATATATATATATGCATTTGAACGAAGGTGACAACCAATGAAACAACAATTGTTGATCAGTATTTAAATGAAAAATAAAATAGATTATCATGAGAAATAAGGAGGAGGGGCGATCCTGAGTGGTTCATCCTTTTTTAGTCTCGATTAATAGAGTATTTATAGTGATTTTTAATGTGAATGTTAGTCGTATGATAATGAATCAAGATGATTATTTGTAAGTTGATCATATTAGAAAGATTTGATAGTTAGACCTTGAATTTTATCATGGTGTGTCATTTGGACCTTTCAGGGGTCTTATCTTAATATTGTATGTGCATTATAGTTGACTTGTGGATTTATGCTCGAGAGACACAAACTTTTAGGGGCTTCAATAAGCAGAGAGATCTATATGAAAACCCATTATCAATGAAGTGTTAAAAGATTTAATACGATGAATACCAATAGATTCATGAATGATATTTTTGAAAATATACCAATAAGTGAAAGCAAGGAAATAAAATAAACTTTTATCATTAGAAATTTGGGAGAGGGATGAGTTTTAACAAATGTAAACTCTGATTAGAGATAAAGTTACGAGGTTGGTTTAAATTGTAATAAAAATATAAAATCATAAATTCACATATGAGAAAGTTATATTTGGACATTTTAAAATGAAGTGAGGATGAATATATAATTAAAATATATAAATAAAATATGCTTTTAAGGTCTAAAGATTTCTAGACGTATCAACAATACCAATGAGTATAAAAAAAATTTTAAGATCTCTAAATTAAGAAAGGATCATAAGGTCTAAACTACTAAAAGATAAAATAAAATAAAACCATGATCATGTTAGTGATTATTAGAAGCACGATGTTGCAAGCTAGAAAGGCAAGATTTTGATAACAACCATCATCACTATGAGAGCCTTTATTTTTGCCAATGGATCATGCTAACGAGCATCATTAGGATGTCTTTTAAAAGTAGCATACTATTATAAAATAATTCACATCGAAGCCACTCATTAACAATTTTTTTTTATAAACTCATTAACTTTTATTTTAATTATCCGGATTTCAAGGCTTTGTTTTGATTAATCCGAATCGACCTAGGTCAAACACTTAGTTTTGATGCGTGACTCTTCCAACGGAGATTTTATGCATACACAATAACTCGAACTATAAATCTACTTAAATGATATCAAGTTATTAACCACTTGAAGCAACTCGTTGGTTTAATTATTGTTATTTTTTATCAAAGGTGTAATAATTATTAATGGATTCAAATAATGATACATAGGGGTAGATTTAAAAATAAAATAATCTACTAAAAGAGGGGCCGTGTTGTATTCTCCTACCAATTATATTAATTAAGAATCCTTTAGGGTTAGGGTTTAGAGAGTCTAACTTTGAATTTAATGATGACATGCGTTTAATTAAGAGATCTATGCTTAGATTAAGTCAAGATTATATGCTTTCATTCTTTTAATTTTTAAAATATTTTCATGCACGCGCATAAGCATGGTAACTATTACACGTGTACAATTGTAAACTAAATTGGAGTAAACAAAACCGTATTAACTGCTTTTTTTAAAGTGTACAAATCAATCATTAAATTATAGAATAAGATCATACAAAAAGGATAAGTAAAAACTCAATCAAACAATTAAAAAAATAATAAATACAAAAAAAATTATCAATTTTGAATCAGTCTATGATCATCGATAAATTGATTTCATCATAACACGATCATAATTTATCTTTAATGATTACAAACGTTTATAAATAAAAGAGAATCAAAATGAAAATTCAAAATAAAAATAAGATAATAAGATAATCAAATATATTATTTTATTTTTGTTTGTCATTTAATTGTTATTTTTTCAAAATCTTAATGTTACATTTTATTTTGTTTATATTACTCACCATTAAAAAATTAATGTTGATGCTGATGTGACATCTTTAAATTATCTTTCACTTCTCACTTAATTAATTTTTTATAATTTTTTTAACAAGATGGAGAAAATTAAAACCGAAACTTAGCCCTCTTGAAATAGGGTCATGGTTGTTTTGTGTGAATAATTGAGTGTTTAATAAAATTTCTTAATGTTTTCTATTCAAAATTCGATGTATTTATTAGATAGTTTATTAAACGTAATAAAGAAAACAATTTACAAGCAAATTTATTTATTTATGCTTACTCTTACAATTCAACTTTTTTCGATACATATTATTAAAGACCTAGTTTTTATGTTCGTCCTAAGTCACTAAAATCTCATAATATATCGAATCGAGTAGGTTTATCAAAATATAATTTGATAAAGCCATAGTTATTATTCCAAAAGGCAGACTTTTATTCTATCCTTTTGCCTTTATATACCAAACGACAAAAAAGCCCATATGATCGGAATTATTGGTACAATATAAATTCATAAAGTGACAAAAATAAATGAAAAATTAAAGAGATAAACTTTCAAACAGAATGTTCTCTGTATATGTATAATTATATAAATCATAAAATTATCTACAAGAATCTTGTCAATTTTTTAAAAATAATTAACATGTGTATTTAATATTTATACTTACTTAAGGGGAATGCATGTATTTATGGTTTAAATTTAATACTAATTACACATTCAATTTAATTAAAAAAGTGAAGCATGAATATAAATGTGTACTAATATTTATTTTTATCTCCAAAAATCAATATTTTTATCAAAAAATGTAAACTCTATTGGGCCAAAAAAACCATTCTAAGTTTCAGTTGTAAGTCCATACTAAAGACATGGATAGACTAATGATGAAATTAAACATTATATAAGCTAAGTGTTAAATATAAACTTTTTATATAAAGTTATGGATATAAGATAAAATGATATCGTAAATTTATACAATTTCTTCAAGTATAATTAGGATGTCATAATATTCTATCTATTGGGATCACACTTGTAAGATTTTTGGTTACATTAGTAGAGTTAATGATCAAATTAGTAGAATAACGATCAATGACCAAAAAAAATATTACTTAAAAATTTTAACTGATAAAATCTGTTTGTTCGAACGTTGAATTTAAAATAATGAAAAATTAGTTGATATTTTCTTAAAACAAAGTTGAGTTTCTTATACCCTTAAACTAATATAAAATAAATTGGATAAATTTTACATGTTAATATAATTAGCTATTTTAATTAAGGGTAAACTCACCATATATCATTGAACTTTAGTCGTTCTATTGTTTATACTATTGAACTTTCAATTTTTCCAATTTTAGCACTGAATTTTGATTTTTGTTTCAACTATACCACTGGACCGTTAGATCGTTAACTGTCAGATCAAAACAATGTCATTTTGGTGAGCTGTCTATATCAGTAGTTGTCATCCACATCATCATTTTGTTAACGATTTAATGATTCAGTGGTACAATTGAAACAAAAATTAAAATTCGGTGCTATAATTGGCAAAATTAAAAGTTTAACTAAAGTTTGGTAGTATCTGATATAGTTTGTTGTAGCCCATAGCATCCTTGAGTTCATGGGATAATGAATAAGTAGCATTTTTGTGGATTCGTTTGTTTATTTTTATTATGTCTTATACAAGCCTTCATCAATTTGCTCTCGCAGCCAGCAGAATATATAAATGAGTTGACCAAGTAATTACAGAATGATAAATGATTTCTTTTAATTTATCAAAAATTAAGTTAAGATCGATCTAATGTTAATAAATGAAATTCAGAACAAATATCGGATGAAGTTAATTTTGAAAAACAGAAAATATTTATAGAAAATATTAAATACTTAAATTCAAATATCAAAGAAAGGATAGGACTTTAATTTAACTAATACTTAAAGTAATAATGAGGGCTAAATTCCTCTCTTACTTATAATCAGTTACATATAACTATATAAATATATGAGTTAGAATATGTTCACAACGTGTAAAAACTTTTTAATTTTATATTTCTAGAATAGCTGGATAGGTGAAACTAGATGACTGAGACGAATAGTGTAAAATGAAATAATAATTTTACAAAATGAAAGAAAAAATAATAATTTTAACATTCTATTTTTACTTATTTAACGATATTGAAAAAGTACAAAATTAAAATGGAGTATGTGGTGAATCACTTGAGATTATTTTATTAGGTAAATCGCCTTTGTCTTGACTTACAATTACATCCATCATTTATAGCTTTTAACCTGAAGGACTCAAAAGTCAGCATGTTAGAAATAGATACGCCGTCATAACTTCAGTATTTCTATGTAATTAGTCTCCTAGCTTATGTCACATTATCTACATATCTATTAATCAAAAAACAATATATATATATACATATCTAAGTTTTTTTTGTTTAGTTAACTGTATCTTTTTATTTCATTTAATTATCATTTGAAGATACATAATTAATTATTTTTTATGGTACGATATTATTGATCTGAAATTAAAGTTTTTGCAAGATGAGTATCAAGTAAATCTGGTTCAATTTATATCGTCAGAAGCTGTAAAATCTCAAAATTAAAAGTCCGGCAGAGCGGAAATAGAAACTGATCTTACCCTATATTATATGGTAAGGACCTGGAAATTTCATACCGCAACAAATAGCACAAATAAAGTAAACATTGCAAATGTTTTTTTTATAAAAAAAATAACCTAAACAAGATGTAGCTGTACCACCTTCCCTCCCTGCATTTCCGAGTTCAGAGTAAGACCGCTTCAATGGCACTGGTCTTACCATTGCTCAAATCCCTCCCACCAGGTTGAGCATTGGCATGAAATGCTGATTGTCGCGATGGTTCTCCAAGTAGTTTCAAGGATAGTGGTGAAGGCTCTCTGTGGCCATTCTCGGCCCCTCCGATACTAAGCCGAGACATACCGACTACTTCGTCTACGTTGACAGGTTCTTTGGGAAGCAATGGGATCGGCTTCAGTACCTGATGTTGAGATGCTTCTATGCCCTTATCTTCATTTGGTGGGGCTGGATTCGGTGGCCAGAAGGGGTAAGGAACGGGTACGTAAGGTGGAAAGAAACCATGGACCATAGGTGTGATTCCGCTTGATCTCATCATGGTTTCTTCAGTTTCTTTAACTCCTCCTTGTGCTGCTGCATCTTCTCCATGCTCGAATTCCGAGTTGAGAGAGAGGTTTAATGAAGGTATTGAATTCGCATTGTCGGCTTCTTCTACCTGTGAAGAAGGCGGCAAAACGTGCTCTTCGGGCACAGTGAGTGTATCCGTATCCTGCAAAACAATAAAAAATGAGTTGTCTTGCCAGTGCTAGCAAATGCTAAAACGCAACATAAAGAGGCAAGAGAAACCATGTCATCCGGAACCATGTCGAAAAGGCTTGAACGTCTCTTCCTTCGGCTAAAATTACTCTGACGGATGAAATACTTCTGGGCATGACTTGCTACCTGAGTAGGTGTCCTTGACACCACAAAATTCCGAGCTATCCCCCGCCAGTCCCCTTTCCCTAATTTATGGAGGCCAACTAGAAAGAGCCGATGTTCCTCTTCGGTCCATGGGGTACCTGTGAAGCAACCAAATTTTAACTGCATTTCTCCAAATATCATGGAAAAATCAATAATTTTCTGTCACCATATATTTCCATTCCACCAGTTAAACCGATCATCCATCCCTGATCTCCGTCCTCTCCTCTATCATGGATAACTTAAAGTTGCATGAAACAAAGGGTAAGCTAACCATTGATATTTGTTGTTGGAAACAAGATCGACTCGTCGGCCGGTGACGGTTCATTCCTTCAGATTTGGCGAAAGCCATGGCCAATGAAAATACGATCGTTGACCGATATTTTTCTGTGATAGAGATGGAAGCATAAGTGGGAAGATGGGGGTTGAGAAGGAGAAGCAAGTAATCACAATCCCCATCTTCCCTTATGCTTCCATCCCTATCATAGAAGGATACCGACTAATAACTGTGACTCTCTGTCTAAGTCAAAATAGGTAAACCGGTAATGGATCAAGAGTCAAATTTGTTCCATCAACAATGTACAAATATAGAGAATGCATTGTTGCTTGGAAAACCAATCCTTGCTTTGGCGGAACTCACAAAAGTTGCAATCACATCAAAGTTTGCTAAAAAATTAGAGCCGCTCCTAGTTCACAGGCACATCATTTCCCAAAACAATGAAGCAAAACACTTTGGAAGCCCCAACCTTCCAATCTTATACTATATAAAGAAACCTATACCTAGACCACTCAAATAACTCTTCCCACGAGCTAAGAATCAACTGATGCAACACATTGAGGCAAAAAAAGTAGTGTACCTTCCAGCAATTAACAAGAAAAAAATACAATAATTATCACTCTAAATATCAAAATCTCCTTAGCAGTAAGGAATAAAAACCGTATAAAAGACGGCCAAATAAAATTGAAATTGAATTCAAGTTCTCGTCCAGAATCCTCACACGTGTCATGCAAATAAATAAACCACTTAAGCCAGCCGAAAATTTTGATTTTGCCCAAGGTTGATGTTATGTATTTGTCCTTGAATATGAGTGGACGATAATGACACAAGTTTCTACAATAAAGCACAAACCACGTATTTACTTTTCACCAAGAACGAGGGTAGCTCGGATTACTCAATAAAATACAATAATTTTTTAGAGAAAATTAAAACTTGAAAGCTCCATTCACGGTTCAGGTATGGCGAAGTGAGAGAGAGATTATTCTATCACGACAAAGCAGCTAATTATCCTTACTCATCTGGTCCCCGAAAATTCCCATATATAGAGAGAGAGAGAAAGAGCTAAACTAGAGGAGGCAGGCTATTTTAAAAACCAAGTGTGACTACATAATATAATCTTAAAAAACACACACAAGATCATTTCTACACGCTACTGATCTCCCGTAATTTCTAAAACCCTATATCAGAAATAATAAAGGTTGGTACTCGAACTTTCTTAGCCAAAATATTTTACTGAAAATGAAGAAATTGATGTATTATACGAAATTTGCCTAAAAGAGGAAGCTCTTACTTAAGTAACAAAGTATAAAACTAATGAAAAAAAGGAAATTTTATAATGAAAGTAATTACGTTTAATTAACAGGAAGGATTAAATAAGCATTTTCTACATTTACTTCAAAACGAAGATAAGAAAACGAAATCTACAAAATCCCAAAAAGAAATAAAATAGTTGATTGACCATTAATATGCTGTCAACACTGTTTCTCATGAGAAAAATGTTATGAAAAATTTGTAAAAATCAACCTTAAATTAAAGTTAAATCCTCGAGCTAAAAAATAGTAAATAAACAACGCAAAAAAGGCGGCGTTCTGAACTAATCACCTTTCTTTCTATCTCCGCGACGATTGGTTGAGAAGTGTGCAGCGGGGTCATCAGAGAGATAGCCGTCGGGATCGTGGTTGTGGTCACGAACGTGATCGGATAGAGGAGAGTCATGATTAGGCGAAACGGCGGCTGATGACGAGCTATGGTAGTGCGCCGACGACAAATTTCCCATACTCGCACTCTTTTTTATTATCGAGCCATCCGTCAGGCGGACGCCGAATAGCTTCACTCCTCCACCGCTAATTCCGCCATCACCGCGCGTGGGACACGTGCGTGAGTTGTGGCCGTTGTTGCTGCAATGCGAGCATCGCCGAGTCATGACTCGACGAGCCAAAACCAAAGAAAAATACTAATCTGGTGTTATTTATTTATCTATTCGTCAAAAAATGACGGAAAATAGATCAATAAACACAATAAATTTAGAGAGAAGAGAAACTGAGAGACGAGTGCTTGGAAATGATAGGAAAGAAAGTAAAGAGGGCGGATTATAAAATGGGATAAAGGAGAAAAAGGGTCTTTTGGGTATTTCGTAAGCCAGTTCAGACTCGGAGGATTATCATATCTCAGTGGATCGTTCATTAGGATAGACTAAATTACGGAGTTACCCTCGTATGAAAAATAACGTCCTGCTCTCATAAATGTGAATACTTTATTCTGTGTGCGTTAGATACGTCTATTCATATCAATTATATTTCAACACAAGACAATTTTTAAACTATGTTCAAATGTTTTTTTTTATCACTCAACATTTAAAAGTTATGAATTTATTAAATTATTGTAAAATTAAATATGATATATATATATATATATATATATATATATTATTTCAAAAATTAATGTAATTGTAATAAATAAAAATAAAATAGAAAATGTAAAAGATATTCAACATTAAGTGATAAAGTGGATTCTTATCTACTTAATATTTTTCACACTTTTCATTACGAAAATTTTAATGGATAATTTAATGATTTATCAAAATATGCCCTTTAATTAAAAAAATGTAATCGGCTTTTGTTACGAATATTCAACATAAAACGATAATAAAATCACAAAATATAAAAATATAGAGTTATAGGAAAAATTAAAAAAAAATCACAAGCAGAATTCTTTTAATAAAAGTAAAAAAGAATAAAATATTTACAACATCTAAAATCGTCTTACCTTTTATCCCATTTTCTAACGAATAATCCATATCTTTATTGATAATATCAATTAAATTTGAAATATTAAAAATAAGTCATCGTGATTTAGAACACACAATAAATTATCAAATTCAATTATCGAGTGAATGATCTTAATTGTAAATGTAGAGTTCTCTCATAGATACACCTTACCCTTTTAGTTTAATTTTATTCGTCGTAATTAATCTTATCTTTTAAAAAGAAATTGAAACCCCATTTAAATGGGAGACCATATCCAATGAATTTTTGAAAAACGGGGCAAAAAAGAACCTTATCAAAGGACAAAACATTAAAGCCAAATGTGTAGGGACACCCTTTGCGTTTGCTAAAAGAATACGGCATATGTATTCCTCCTTTAAATACCAAAGAATGAAACAAGCTTTGTGGACTCTATCTGCAAAACAGACAAAGTCTTGCTTCTCTTTTTTAAAACACAAATTGGCCTTAGAAATAGGACATTATGGCCCCCGGACAAACCTATCATACATTATATCTTATTATATTTTAATAACTGTTTTACAAGCTTATTTTTAATATGACCAGACTTATAATTTGTTTTATGAGTTTGGGATTAGATTGAATAATAATAATAAATAGAACTGTATTATGGATACTTTTATCCTCTTCTAAAAGGAAAATGGCGTTGAGTGTGAAAAGGTGAGATCACTGCTTTCTTCTTCTGTTTTCTTTTCTAAATAAAAGTTGAGTTTCTCTTTTTAGAATTATAATTATGATCAACGCATAGGACATAACTATTAAAATTAATTATTGCAATGCACAAATATATTCAAATTTAAATTTAGATAAGATTTGCACTGGATTGACCTTAGTGATAAAAAAATGTTCCAACAGTTATCTTTATAAGTTGATTTTGTGTTATCAATTGGCTAACTGAAATTATGAACATAAACAATTTGATTCCTTTTGGTTTTTGCAATTAAAGTTGAAAAAGCAGGAGAGAAGGGAAAATAACCCCATCATTGACACTTCTGCAAGTTCATATTCCATGTAATGTGAAACACTTCCAAAGTCCATATCTACCTTTTATCAAATGCTCTATATATTTGCTTCATTTGATCTTAACTACAACCACCACCTTACAGGATGAACAAAACTTCAAGAATGGCGAAACCAAAAAATAAATATAAAATACAACACTTCAAGGACTGGTTAAAGTGGGTTCTTTTCGGGGTTATATATATATATATATATATATATATATATATATATATATATATATATATAATGAGGTAAAAGCAGACGCCTTCTCGTGCTCACCATCTTCACCCGTAACTTTGGTAGGCAGGATTGTACATGCAGTTCTCGGCATACTTCACGAGATCGTGGGGCCAAGGCGTGCGAGTAGCCAAACCTATCAAACAATGGGGTGATGATATTTCCGATTAGATAACATGGGAGTTGCATGTCGTATCATATTAATCGACGACGAATGAATTTTACCGAGTTGGTATGCTTTAGCTGCAACATTGGCTGCAATATGGGCTGAAATCTTTCTGATATCTCTGAATGGTGGGTAGATGAGTCCCTTGTCGAAGTTTTCCTGTGTAACCTGTGCAGCCAAAGCCTCTGCTGCGCAAAGAAAACAAAGAAAAGGTTAGGCTCCATAGCATTTGAAACTCGTAAACGTTAAATGTTAACTTACAGGCTGCCAGAAGCATATCATCGTGAACACGGATCGCACCGGACAGTATTAGACCCAGACCGAGTCCAGGGAAGATGTATGCATTATTTGCCTGCAGAACAGAAATATAACAAACTCAAATTAGCCCTCAATGCAAGACAGAGCCAAATATGGAGGTAATATCGCTCTAGATACTACCTGGCCAGGCACAAAAACTCTTCCGTTGTATTCTACAGGATCAAACGGGCTTCCACTGGCGAAAATGGCTCGACCCTGAAGGCGAACAAACAAGGGAAGAACCATTTAGTGTCACACCGTTAACGGTCATATTTCAGAAAGGCTGAAAGAATAAAAAACAAAAGCTGCCTGAATGATTTACCTGACTCCATGTATAAGCCTATTCAGCAGTACATTCAGATTGCGAAGTTGGATTAGAAAGAGAATATAATACGTTTCTGCAAGCTCACATAAACAACGGATCAGTTTAGCTCGAACATATAACTTATTTATTAAGCAAATTTATATCGACAGATACGGTACTTCATTCAAGGCACCCATAGCCTCAACCACTTCTTTTCTTCTGTAGTAAATGTCCTTCCTACTCCTGATGTTCCTACTCTTGATGTCGCAAAATCTTCTCGCGAGCCTCTTTGCGGGACATATTTGTCTGCATGTGTAATCCGGCATTATTTCCAACGGCTTCATGGCATGTGCAACCAAATTCAAAGTCAGGTAACCAAAAAAAAAAACAGAGAATGGAATCGAGGACTTTCAACAAGTTGCAACAGCAACTCTCCTCTCCAGCACCAAGGAATAAGAACCTATGATCGGCCAAGGTTCCACCAACAACTTTTTGTGCATCAAGAAGCCCTGCAAGGACCAGGTAATTTACCCAAATCATAAATGAAATGTTTATGCTTACGTGGTTCAATAAAACTAAGCTTAAATGCTAACCTGAATGTCATCATTGAAAACAAGAAGAGTAGTGCTATATTTAGCAAGCAAGTCAAATGCAATGTGGTTTTCAAAATCTTCAAACTGCAAAAAATGGTTCAAGATTCAGAAAACAATTAAACTTAACATATAGGCAAACACATAAGTCATGTAATACGGCCAATATTTCATAGATGTCTTTGCTCGAGTCAACTTGCCAGAATGAGAACTTTCTCCCCATAGGTCTGCTTGACTGCAGACATGAATTCGTGCATAAGTTCAGCATATTCCTGGAGTCGAAAGAAGCAAAAATCTCTTTAGTATAATTATTTTTATTAACCCGATGGCGATAACAAAAATGAAGCAAGTGTAGTTTAAGCTTGTGTACCTGCCCAGTAGCTCTTCTTTGCCTAAGCCCAATATAAAACTTGTCATTCAACAATTCCTCGTTGTTTGTACCCACATCGATGGTTACAGGCAAGCACTGCAAACAGTAAGTTATAGCTCATTACAAGGCTCGTCCGAAGTCATAACCTAATAATGGAAGCAATATGCAAGGAACTGCCATCACTTCTTAATAATAAAGCAAAGGGTAGTGATTACGCATCGTTACAGATACTTACAGCCGTGTATAAAGAAAGCTTCCCTATAGGTATTCCCATTCCCTGAGAATACAAATTCCAATTAACAAGTAAACAATACGTGAGAAAGGAAAGAGAGAAAGAAGCATTTATCGATGGATGTCTTCTAGTATTTATACCTGACAGCCAAGATCACCTAGACCCAAAATCCTTTCCCCATCAGTGACAACGATGACTTGAATATTCCTCTGGGGCCAATTTCTCAGAACTTCACGAATCTTCCCCCTACAAAAGATACATATCAGAGTAATATACCGGGAAAGAAGGTGGAAATCAAGAAAGCCATCTATAATCCGAGGAACCAGTTCTCGTTTGACAATCTTGCTTTTCTTTCAAACTGATAAAAAGACCCTGAGGACGCCTGAAGATGCTCTCATATTTCTGGCAATCTTCACCAACAGTTGGAGTATAGACAACCGGCAGCAACTCCTCAACATTGTTGATGAGAAGTTTGTAAAACAGCCATTCATTTAACTCCTGAAAGCAAGAGTAAAATCGATATCAATTCAAAAGTGTTAAAGTCTTTCATGGAAATTGATTAAAGAGCAGCATTGGTTTGAAATCAATAAACATGCAGTGACAACTCCATCCAAAACCAAACGACTCTATTAATATAGTGCATGGTTACCTGCAAATCCATCATGGCCATGTACTTCTGCAGAGGAACTTGATACTGGGAGATGCTATGCATCGTTTTCTTCACCTGGTGAATAATAGTAAAATGGTTCATTAAAATATCGCACGGTTAAGGAAAACAAACAAAATTCATCATGAATGATTCAAATGAAGGTAAAACAGATGTACAATCCGGGTAGATAACCTGAAGATCCTGGGAAATAACTGTTGGAAGAAGAAGACCGCACAAGTAATAAGCATCTCTTTCTTTATCATTGAAGGCAAGTCCTTTGTTATGGTGAGTATCTCACAACAACGCATACCTGCTGCAGAGGACAAAGAAGAGCTAAGACTTCGAAAGAATACGAAAGCTAATTCATATTCGATTTCGATATTACACTAGTTCATTAAAAACATACCATTCGATCTAACATCATCAGAATTCTAATAATATCTAAGAACAAATACAACCACTAATCAAGAAATGGAAGACCAGAATTGATATTCATATTCGGTTTCGATATTAGACTAGTTCATTAAACATACCATTCGACCTAGTATCATCAGAATTCTAATAATCTCTAAAAACAGATAGAACCACTAAACAACAAATGGAAGACCAGAATTGATAAATTATTGTTGGCCAGTTGACCACAACATTAAGATCCATCATTCAAACAGAGTCCACAACAAAGACATCGAAATAAAATAAGACCCGGCACTTAGGCAAAGACAATGATACTAGATCTGAGGGGCATAAATTAAACTCAGAAAAGAGAACACATGAAAAATACAAAGAACTGTTGTGAAAGGGAAAGTGATAGAATCCTACCTGGCGACAGAGAGAGACCAAGGGGTGACAAGTTGATCATCGGTGGCAGCCTCATCGTATGAGACCTCAGGGTCTTCGCCAGCAACGGTAGAAATGGGGTCCACGTCAGCAACGGAAGAAGTGCCATCATCTTTTATTTCTTTCAATGGGTTGTCGTTCTCAATCAAAACGTTGCTGTTTCGGTCCCTGTTGGGGCCTAAAGCCTTCACTTTGACTGAAGCTGGTGGCGTCTTCTTCAACTTGTAAGAGAAAGGGCTGGACGACCCAGAAATGCCAGTGTTGTTCTGTTTCCAAAAAAAAAAAATCAGTAACAAAATTGAAAACAAAACAGATTCTTTCTTTAAATAATTTATGTAAATATGAGATATTTATATAGGAAAAAAAGGAAAACTTTTGTTGTGTATCTAAATGTAAAAGAGTTACGACAAAAAAGACCCTGAACTACAAAGAACAAAAACAAAGGTAAAAATCATGTGGTTTTCAAACTAGAGATTTAAATTCTAGGAAGTGGGTATCGGAGAAACATCCAAAAAGAACAAATTACCAGAAAACAGCTTCTGTGCAGGGAGATTATTGTGATAGAAAAATGTGGAGAGACAAGAGAATTCAACTTTAAGTTTCTGGGAAACTTTGAATCTTTCTCTCAAAAGAAAGGAAAGGAAGAGCGATGGGTGGAGATTTGAGGATGCGTTATATAAAGCTATTCCCTTCCCCCTTTGACTTGTTTTCTCGCTGGTTTCATGTGTGACAGAAAGAGAAAGGAAAGAAGCAGACAAAGGTAATACTATAAAAACGTCTCCGGTGTTTTTTCCCCTCTTCTGCAGACATTTTTCCTGGCTGCAAATGACAAATGGGTAGCTGCATTTGGGCATTTATTACGAAAGTGCCACCATCGTCACCATTAATACGAGCCCAACCTCTTCTGAGTGGACTGTAAATGAGTCAACTCGAGTTTTAGTATTATCTATCTCGATTATATTCTAAAATTTTAAAATTAAGTTTGAATCAGTTAAAAAATATTTTGAGTTTAAAATTTTTGAGTTTGACTCAAACTTGAAATAGAAAATGAAACTCAACTTAAAGTTTGTGAGCTTAGAATGTTCAACTCGAGTTCGATTTAAAATCAAAAATTAAAATTTGACTCAAACTCAAATTTTAAATATATGAAAATATTATATTATATTTTAAAAATATATATATTAACATTTTTCGTGGTTGTCTTTCTGTTGAGCCTTTAATTGGGCTTCGACTTGAAATAATAGGTTAGAGTTGATCATTTTAAAACGAATTTAGGTGAGTCGGACACCATCTTACATAGTCTGCGTTTTACCAGAAACGTGTTGAGTTCTGGAGTCGGTTACGGTCAATGAAGGATTAATACCCTTGAACCGCCCTTTCGATACCAATTAATTTAACGATTGTCTTTAATTGCAAAAATTAAAAATAAATAAATTAAAATTACCCGATTTGAATTGTTTACCTTTGATCGATTGGAAGTATCTCTTTAAAAAAATGTCAAGAAAAGTGTTAGATAAAAAGGTAACGAAAATAACTAAAATTAAAAACAAAACAAACGAAATAAAAAATGAAATAGAGAAAGAAAGGAAAATAAAATAATAAAGAAAATAAAAGAAATAAAAAACAAATAATAATAATAATAATAATATATAGAATAAATAAAAACAAGAATAAAATAAAAAATAGAGAAATAAAATAAATATAAAGAAAATAAAAAAATAAAGAAAAAGAGAGAAGAAATAAATAAAAAGAAATAAAATAATAGAAATATGCATATAATAAAATGTATAAATAAAACATAATAAATAAATAACATAAAATAAAATAAAATAAAATAAATAAAGTAAAAAAAAAGATAAAATAAATATAAAAGGTAAAAAGGATGAAGATAATAAAAATAAAACATAATATATATATATATATATATATATATATATATATATATGTATAATAAAAATAATATGACTAATTCGAAATAAATATTAAAATTAAGGGTCAATTCAAAAAAAAATCGGAATGAAATTAAATTTTAGGGGCAGAATACATGTATGGTAAATACGGGGGACTAAAACTGAAATTACCCCATTTTAGCTTGAAAACACGGGAATAAAGGGGCCAAAACGACATAGTTTCAATCCCAATATAAAACCCCCACAATACCCCCAAAACACTCATTCTTCCTCATTTTTCAAATCTCCTCTCTCTAAACTGATATCTCTCTCGTCTCTCTTTAGAGAGAGCTCCACCGATGGGAAACTGGCCTC